ACTAGCTAAGAATCGTTCCACATTGAAGGGGTCTTCCACGATCAGGCACAAAACCAATGCACCCGGGTTAGCCACGCCATCTCTGACGCGTCTCTCTACAAGACCGGTGACGATATCATTACACAAAACCAACACGGAAAGTCAGAAAAAAAACGAAAAAATTGACAACACAGATAGAAATGTTTGTCCGTGCGCCACGGGTCGATGTCGCCCGCATGCTCCGGTGCCACTGCTCCATCTGGCGCCGCTGTAGTCAGCCCGAGCAAAACGCCAATCTACCTGCTCCGTCCGCCGTACACGCTCTCGTTGCTGTCCTTCCCAGTCCGTTCCTCGCTTTCTCCCTCATTGCACTCAAGGTTCTTGGTCTGAAAAAAATAAAAATTATCGCGCCGAATGGTCAACCAGCCTAGTTCAGCTCGTCGCCACCTGCTCCCCCTCCTTTGATGGTGCCGAAGTTTCGCGGGGCCAACAGAGTACGAAATGGATCGAAACTAATGAAGTGCTAGCGTCGGCGTGGGCAGACTTTCTCGCGACACGTACGGTGCCACCCTGTCGAACACACAGAGTTTGTTCAAGAAAATACGATAATATTTGCATGTTGCACCGTTATTTTCTGCCCGCCTAGGCACACGTACTGCAGGCCCTGAAATGTCGCGCAAACCAACCCTTCAAATGCGAATGAAACTTTGTACAGTAGTACCGCACTGCCATTTTCCAGCGACACGCACCAACGGCTGCCTAATGTTCTGTGGGCAAGGAAGCAGTGGCATTGGCCTCACATGGATCACACCATTTGGTTGGGTCAAGCTCCACGGTACCTCTCTCTGTACTCGACGGCGAAGAAAAGAAGACAACCATCATACACACACTCGATTTGACGGCAAGATGCTTGTAAGCTCCCGTTCGTACAACTTGTTGTCCAAGTTGCCCTCCTTCGAAGTTGCACAACACGAAAAAGACAACAAAAAAAGAAACACGACAGGAAGCGCACTGCACGAAAAAAAACAGCCACTACTACCACAGCTAGCTGTATCCATCCCCCCCCCTCACTGCGTCGCGATAATAGACTCTTTCATGTCTGCCTGGCTCACCCGCTTCCATGTTGCAAGAAAAAAGAAAGAAAAAAAAAACACAAGTACGACAGGAAGCGCACCGCAAGAAAACAAACATCCAAGTACCCTGTGTATCGACAAACTCTCTCTTGTCTGCCTGGCACACCCGCCTAGCAGAATGCGCTGCGATCATCGACATCCTCGCTTTCGATAGGTAGAACGCCGCTTCTCCGTTGCTACTATCCTCTTCTGCCGCTTCCAGGGCGCCGGTGCGCCTCTGCCTAGAGCTCTTCTTCGGGTCTGCAGCAGCAGCACGTGTACACTCTTCCTTGTGCTGCGTCTGTTCGCTGTCTTTGTGTGTGTGTGACTTTAATATTAGCATCCGCTAACCGGCTGACCAATGAAACGACGTCAGTCTCAGTGCGGTTGAAACACCCGGGTTGCAAGGGGCTCCGTACACCCCATTTTTCTTTTTTTTGTTCTCGACCAATGACTCACGGAACCCCTCGCAGCTGGCCTTCACCATAGCGACCAACCGAAGTTTCTCAATAGCTCCGGCTGTAGTTGCGATCCAAAATTAGGGCAGCCCTCTATAGAATCGTCGTGGACACCTCTAAAGTATAGTGGCGTTGAAAAGGTGAAAGGGATCGCACCCGCGACGGACCTCGGAGCGTAAAGTCCGCCAGAGGGGTGGTATCTTCCGTAGAATCTTGCCTACCTGTCCTGCGTCTCCCTGCAACGAGAGAGGGATTAGGGCTGCGTGGAGAGATCTCTGAGGCGAAACGGAGGAAGGCACTGCCGTGCACAACCCACCCAAGGTATGAGCACTTCATGGATCAGAAACATGGGCGAAAATCACTGATAATCGGGCGAATCCAGAGACAAGATCATGTGCGGCACGAACCACCCGGGTGCAGCGGCAGCTATAGCTCAGCAGCAGCTATAGCTGCTTCGTGCAGGCTAAGCCGCCCTTTTGCCTGCACCCGAAGGCAATGGTCCTGTACGGTTACCAACCGCGACGCGTGATGAATGCCGACTCATGATAGGATTGATATTGCTAGATTTAGGGGCGGGCGACAAGATTCAATCTTGTGTGGTCCCCAAAAAATT